CATTGTTATAACTAAAACTTAACTTCTAATAGAAAGCTATGGCCAAAAAGGTCATCTTTAATACTAAAAAAAAAGAATTACTAGCCAATATAACTATGGTATCTAGAAATCAACAAAAAAAAGTAAAAGTATATACAAATTACAAACAAAAAACCAAAATATATGGAAGTAAATAAGTTCAAAATGTCAATACCAACAATAAAAGTATTAGTAAATGTGAAGAAATATAACAATAACACCAAAATTACAACACTAGCCAACTTAACCATGGTATTTAGAAATCAACAAAATGAAGTAAAAATATATATGAATTATAAGCAAAGAACCAAAATGATATTATTAGTAGCTATATATCAGATACTAGCAAAAATGATATGATAATACTAAAAATTAGTGATAACAGACAAAGAATAGTACTAGAAATTGATAATACTAGGGTGTGGTAGCTTAGTGAAGTGATCTAGTTATCATCAGATTCAAAGTTTGAATCTCATAGATGATGTTTTTAAAAAATAAGCCTGTGATATGGTGATGATTATGATCAATCAGTTGGGTTTCAGAACCTGTAATCTTGGTAATACCATGTTTATATAGGAGCTTTGGCACATAAAAGGCCAAGAAACTGTGATGATTGAAACCTATTTGGGAAGTCTCAAGTGAGAAAGTAATAAAAACTTTTAATCATGCTACAAGAAAACTGAACTTGGAACTGGAGACTGAGACCAGAGAACTAAGTAACCAGGTCCTTAAGTGAGAAGACACACCAGCTGAACCACTGAGTTGCCAAAACTGGAGAAAAAGAATATGTGCTCCAGAAGTGTGTACCAAGGGGAGGATACCCATAGGGCACCTAATGCCTGAAGAGACCAACTTTTCCAGGTTGCTAGCTGGATGTAAGGGAGAGACTGGTTAAAAATTTAAAAAAAAGGGAAGTTCGAATAGAGGTGCCAGAGTTGAAGTAAACCTTATAAAGGTGTAGCAGTTAAATAAGAATAATCTCAACTGCAAGTGAAAGTCTCAACAACTGCGGTACCGGGTTAGCCAAAATGAGATATGAAAGGCTTTGGTAGGTTTATTTCAAGGATAGACCAAGTTGGTAAGTCCTAAGGCACAAACATAATTCGGGTAACTAAGTTAAAAGATCTCACCAAGTAGAATTAGATTATGATCAGAGGGTTTAAATAGGTAACCACCTAGTCAGTCTGCAGGTATAGCAGCTAGTATAGAACCTAAGGTGGACTACTTAAATAGGTAACCAAAAGTTGCACATGTAGCTAGTTGTACCTTTGTTTGTAAAAACTAGAGAGTTTAAATAGGTAATCCCCTAGTTAGATTGCAGATATAGTGGCTAGTGTAGAACCCAAAATAGGTAGACTACTTAAATGGATAACCAAAAAGTTGTACATGTAGCTAGTTGTACCATTGTTATAACTAAAACTTAACTTCTAATAGAAAGCTATGGCCAAAAAGGTCATCTTTAATACTAAAAAAAAAGAAATTGATAATACTAACAAATAGCAATACCAGAAAGAAAAAAACAATAGACAATAAAAACAGAAAAATAAAATAAAATAAATTAGTACTGATAATAAAAAAAAATCAAGTATTATAGTGAAAAAAACAATGTAAAAATAATGTAAAAAAATCTATTGCTATATATCAACATAAGGTTGTATAGATTTAAAGCCAGGTCATAGCATTCTTGCTAATTTGTATAAACAAAGATTTGTAATTTTGATTAGCTATATGTGCCAAATTTGCCAAGTTCTATTAATATTTGAATATGTTTATAAACTTAAACATGTTTATGAACCTAGACATATTTATAAATCTGAATATGTTTATGAATCTGAATATGTTCATAAACCTAAACATGTTTATAAACCTGAATATATTCATGAATCTAAACATGTTCATGAACCTGAATGTATTGATTAGACAAAATTAATAATAATATCTTTTTTGATAATTGCATACTTTTGATAATTAATATGTCTGATACTATATGCTAATATTTATTTTTTTAAAATTTGTAAACTAGAATATATAGTGTTTTTTTAAGATTTTTTTGTAGTAAACTAATACTTTCTTCTTTTTTTTTCTATTAAATTCAGAATCTAGAATTGAAACTATAGTATATACTTTTTTATATACTGTAGTTTTTTTTTTCTGTAAATAAAGCTAATACTGTTTTGCTTTACTGAGTCTTCTTTGGGCTTTACTTTATTGGATCTTGCTTTGTCAAGTTGATTTTATTGGGTCTTGTTTTGTTGGATCTTGCTTTGTTTGGTTTAATTTTGTTAGATCTTGCTTTATCAGTTTGGCTTTGTTAAGTTTTGCTTTGTTGGATCTTGCTTTATTGATCATTGTTGGTTTTTACTTCTTTGTTTTTTTTTTATTAGATCTTGCTTTATTAGATCTTTGTTAGTCTAACTTTATCAGATTTTGCTTTATTGGATCTTGCTTTATTGTGTCTTGTGCTATTAAATTTTACTTTGTTAGGTGCTGTATTTTGTTGGGTCTTGTATTTTGTAATCTTGCATTTTGTTGGGCCTTGTATTTTATTGAGTTTTTTATTGGCTAAAGTAGGGTTTAAAGTATATTAAAGTTTAAAACAGAATTTAAAAATAGAATATATTAAGTCTAGAGTTAGATTAGAATTAAAACTAAAATATATAAATTATGATTAGGGTCAGGTTATTGTTTATTATTTAAATAAATAAATCATTTTTAATACAATTTTTATTTTATATATACTTTAAAATTCTTCAGACATAATTAAAAATATCTAATTATTCAAATTTATCGAATTTGGTTGAGTGGTTGCTAGAATATTTTCAATCAAAGTCATGTTAAAAATTTTGGCAGCTTCTATATTAAATATTTTAAAAGTTCTCAAACTTTAACTAAAGATATTTTGCAACTACCTGATCAATTTGATATAAATTTTTTGTTCAAATTTTACAGATCATAGAATTTGATTAAGTGGTTATCATGATATCTTTGATCTAAGTTAAAATTTTAATGCAGTTTTCATATAATAGTGATAGGTATTTTAATCAAAAATATCTCAATATACTATATTTGCATATGTTTACTTTATAATTTTAAATTTTAAAAAAAATATTTTTAATTTTAGAAATTTTGATCAAAAACTTAAAATTAAGTATGTTTTTTTAAAATTTTACAAATATAAAGTAAATGCATGCTGATATAATGTATTTTTATGCATAGAACAAGTTTACTTAGAGCATAGATTTATAATTAATTGATAAAATTTTAAAGATCATAATATTTTTCATACTTTTATTAGTAAAATTATAAAAAATTATATGATCCTCAATATTTTACTAATTAATTATATATTTATGCTCTAAGTAAACTTGTTCTACGCATAAAAATACATCATATTGGCATGCATTTACTTTATATTTGTAAAATTTTAAAAAACATGCTTAATTTTGTATTTTTGATAAAAATTTCCAAAATTAAGAATTTTTCCTTAAAATTTAAAATTATAAAGTAAACATATGCAAATATGGTGCATTTTTATGTGTAGAACACGTTTACTTAGAGAATAAAGATACAAATAATTAGTAAAATTTTGAGGATCATAATATTTTTCATAATTTTATTAATAAAATTATGCAAAATGTTATCGATTTGAAATTTTTACTATGTAAATTTCTTTAACTTCTAATAAAAGTTGCAGAGGAGAGTCATGTGATTAAAATGGCGGTTAAATCATTAAAATCGGCCCAGTGGATCGCAAGATATAAGTATTTTTGTCTTAATGGCTATTTGTTTCTTTATTAATATAAAGAAAATATATAGTCGCGAAAACCAAAATACTTATATCTTGCGATCTACTGGGCCGATTTTAACATTTAACTATCATTCTGATCGCAAGACACTCCTCTACAACATTTCTTGGAAATTGAAAATACAGTAAGTTTGCATAGTAAAGGAAAAAGATTTCTTTAAAAAACTCCAAATTTGAAAATTCTGAAGACAATAAAAAAATTTTTATCACTGAACCACTACTGAACCTGAACATGTTCATGAACCTTGAGCTGAACCTGAACTGAACCAAAACTTTAAGCTCAGGTTCAGTTCAGGTTCATAAATTCAAAGTTCAGTTCAGGTTCGGGTTAAATGATCTGCAAAATTTGTGGCTCATGTTCAGGTTTCGGTTCAGGTTCATTGAACCTGAACCTGAACTGAACTGAACCTAGGAACCCTAATTGTTCCTGCCGAAAGAGTAACTCATTATGTACACAACAATGTAGGTGTATTTTGCGTGGTGAATGTAGAAATCGTTGATTCTTTTTAAATTTATATAGCAATAATTTTTTAGTTATTCGAATTTTTTATATGCTGTCATTATGCTTTTTTTTTTATAGATTGCTATAATTTATGCAAATTTTTTTTATTTATTTTTTTTTTTTAATTTTATATGTAAAATTTATATGAATGCTTTACGATATAATTAATATTTTATTGGTCATACAATTTTTAAAAGCTGGTCTACATTTCACCGATTAAGAAATAACCTACGTTGTTCAAAATTTAAAAATGACCTAGGTCAATTCGGAATCGACCTAAATTGTGAAATGAATCAGAACATTTATAGTTACGCACGAATGCAAAAAAATTAAATAAAGTTCGATTAAATTGAATTGAATTTTTTTTTTTTTTTTTTTAACTTCGAGAAACAAGAACTTTCCTTGCTCTATTATTGTATCATCGGAAAGTTTTTATTTAAAGTTTTGATTTCTCGGGTTATATATTCTAATTAATATTGTGGTTAGATCAACGTATTTTTTAAGAACGTCGATAATATTGTTGATCCGAAAAATCCAAAATAAAAATAATATTAATAATATAAAATAATAAAAAAAAGATTTGTCTACGATAATAATAATAATAATAATAATAATAACGTATAAAATTATTAATATACGTTATTAATATACGTAAGAATAAAAAAAAAAAAAAAAATCAATATTTAAGGTTTTCAATATCATAATATTAAGTCAAATATGTCTTCAAATTCACAAGATCTCACTCCTGTAATCGATGCATTACCACTACAAGACGTGCCTGATGTCAAAGAAGAAGAAATTGACTTTTCTGCAGTCGATGCATTACCACCGCAAAAAGATTTTGATGAAAAATTGACAAATATAATCGATAACGATGATGATTTAAAAAAAGAAAAAAAATTAAATCAAAAGAAACAAAAACAAAAAGATAATGCTGCCACAGTTCCTTTCTTTAAACTATTTAGATTTGCTACTCCTCTTGATGTAATTTATATGTTGATTGGATCTATCGCATCTTTGGTGATTACAATTTTTTTTTTTAATTCATTATTATTATATATATATATTTAACTGTGCTATTATTTTATGCAGGCTTTAGGTGCTGCTATACCTATCATGACAATTTTCTTTTCCGACTTTATAAATACTTTTTATGTCTTTGCATTTCAACATAATACTTGCTTCCCAGCATGTAGAGATGCTGCAGTACAACAATTAGATAATAGTGTTAGGGATGATGCTTTTCACCTTATAGAATTGGGTGTAGCGGTTTTTATTGCTGGATACTTGCAAATGTGTTTATGGATGATAGCTGGTGAACGTCAGGCAAATGTTAGTATTATAAAAAAGTTATTCACCTTTATCATCAAATTTAATTGCTGCATTTTGTTCTAATGTAAAATTTTTTTTTCTTAAAAAGAGACTTAGAACATTATATTATTCTGCAGTTCTTCGTCAAGATATCACATTCTTTGACACAGTATCAACGGGTGACGTCACCACACGTATATCTGGGGATATTTCTCTTTTTCAAGAAGGTATATCTGAAAAAGTTGGTCAGGTTTTACAACATGCTGCTACGCTCCTTGGTGGTTTTATTATTGGTTTTATAAAAGGTTTGATCCTAATTTTATATAATCTTTCGGATAAATTCTACCATATACAAATTAAATAATTTTAACTCTTTTTTATAATTTAGGTTGGAAATTAACTCTTGTTCTTTGTGCTGTGTTTCCTCTAATGGCTATTGCTGGTGCATTTATGGCGAGAGCTCTTAGCAGAGGCACATCAGAAGGTTCGTTATTTTATTAGTTTTTTTTACTTGAAATTTTCTTGTTAGTTCTACACCTTTTAAAAAAAATTTTTTTGATAAAACAGGACAAGGTTCGTATACCTCTTTACTACAGTAATATACTATTGACTTTTAATTATTATCATATCTTGAAATTATCTTTATTCTTAATCTCTTTTGTTTCTTCGAAATAAATAGATGCTTATGCTGCTGCTGGAGGTGTAGCTGAACAAGTATTTTCTGGTATAAGAACTGTAACTGCTTTTGGTGGTCAAAAACATGAAATTGAACGTTATACTGCTCAATTAGAGCGTGCCTATATTTTGGGAAGGAGAAAAGCTTTTGTTAGTGGTACTGGTCTTGGTTCTCTTATGTTTTTTATGTTTGGCTGTTATGGTTTGGCTTTTTGGTACGGTAGTATTTTAATTGTAAATCATGAAATGACCGGTGCTGAAATTTTAAACGTTTTCTTTGCTGTTTTTGTTGGTGGTGAGTTTAATCTATACCTATTTATTACCAATATTTTGTTTTAACTTTTAAAAACTGTATAAAATAATATCTATTTTGAAATTATAAAATTATAAATTAATTTATTATTATTATTATTATTATTATTTTATTATAGCTTCCTCCGTTGCAAATGCTGCCCCTCATCTCACTGCTATATCAAATGCTATGGGTGCTGCTACTAAATTATTTGAAGTGGTTGATCGAGTTCCTTTAATTGATTCAACTTCTTCTAATGGTCAAATTATTAAAAAATCTTTTTCACAAGGTCGTATAGAATTTAAAAATGTATCTTTTCATTTTCCAACTCGTCCAGATGTTCAAGTTTTAAAAAATTTTAATTTGGTTATTGAACCTGGTCAAACTGTAGCTTTGGTTGGTAGTTCTGGAAGTGGAAAATCTACAATTATTAGTTTATTAGAAAGGTTTTATGATCCTGCTAGTGGTTCTATATTACTTGATGGTGTGGATGTTAAAGATATTAATATTAAATCATTAAGAACACAAATTGGTTTAGTTGGTCAAGAACCTGTTTTATTTGCTGAAACTATTAAAGTTAATATTGGATGGGGTGGTGATCCAATGGAATCTGAACCTACCTTGGACGATATAATAGAAGCGTGTAAAAAATCAAATGCTCATGATTTTATAGATGAATTACCTAATAAATATGATACAGTCGTAGGAGAAAAAGGAAGTTTACTTTCAGGTAATTTTATTTAAACATTCTTTTTTTTAAAAAAAAAGTTAATTTGTGATTGATCGATCGTTCGTCAATATCAATTGTTATGTATTCACGTATGTCAGGTGGGCAAAAACAGCGAATTGCTATTGCCAGAGCTTTGATCAAAGATCCACGGATATTATTGTTAGATGAAGCTACTTCTGCGCTTGATACTGAATCTGAACGACTTGTCCAAGAGGCATTGGATAATGCTGCTACTAATAGAACAAGGTATTTTTTTTTATGTCCTTTCGAATGATAATATTATATTTTATATTCACACATGTCAATTATATAGCATCATAATAGCACATCGGTTATCAACTATTAAACATGCTGATAAAATAGTTGTTATGAAAAAAGGTGAAATAGTTGAAATTGGACGTCATGATGAATTAATTGAAAAACAAGGTGTATATTTTGATCTTGTTAGAGCTCAAGAATTAGAAACTCAAAAAACTGCAAAAAAAACCAATGAAGAAGAAGATGAAGAAATTAGTTCAACTAGTTCTAATGATGATACTGCAGTAATAATAGATGAAAAGAGACATAAATTACATTTAAGAAAATTGTCTACCAAAGGATCGGCTACAAAATCTATAAAGACTGATGAAGAAATTATAAAAGATATGGAAAAAAAATTATTACAAAAAATGCCATTGGCAAGAGTCTTTAGATTATGTCAACCCGAATATGGATTGATGTTCATTGGTTGTATTGGTGCTGCAGGTATGTTTATATAAGGCCATGCAAAATTAATTAATTGGTTTTCATAACCCGGCCGGGTCAAAATTTGAAAACTTCAAAAAAAATTTTTTATATGTTTTAATAACCGGGTGGGTTTTAAAAAAAAATGTTATATAAATTTTATAAAATCTTATATATGAAATTTAAAAAAAAAAGCCGGCCGGCCGGCCGGGTCTATTTAAAAGTTTCATGTTATGAAAACCAAACAATTAAATTTGTATGGCCTAATTAGTTAAATTTTTATATACCACGTTTCACAATGAACTAATAAATTAACTTAATAAAAAGTGAATGGTTCTATTATGCCGTTATTCAGTTTGGTGTTTTCTTCTATCCTTGATGCTTTCTCACGGACTGATCAGTAAGATTTCATGCGTTAATTTATTTGTTTAATTTATTTGTTTAATTTATTTGTTTAATTTATTTGTTTAATTTATTTGTTTAATTATTTGTTTAATTTATTTGTTCGTTTAATTTATATGTGTTAATTTATATGTTAATTTGCTATAATTATTTATAACAGTTTTATTTAATTTGTTATAATTTTATAAATAGACTTGATGAACTTCAACGAGCTGCCAATTTTTCGTCTATGTGTTTTGCAATATTGGCTGTTGTTGCTTTCTTAGCAAACTTTTCCCAATTATCAATGTTCACGTTAGCTGGTGAACGTCTAACAAAACGCCTTAGAAAATTAACTTTTGAAGCTTTATTAAGACAAGAAATTGCTTATTTTGATGATGAAAAAAATGGAACTGGTGTATTAACTTCAAAATTGGCTGTAGACGCAACGAAAGTTGAAGGGTTGAGCGGTGGTCTGATGGGAACTGTAATACAAAATCTTTGCAATCTAGCAGTTGGATTTGTAAGTGTTAGAAAATACTGTATTATCTTTTCCTTTTGTAAAAAACGTGATGATTTTTAGACGTTATACAATGTTTATTTAATTAGGGGCTTGCTTTTGGTTTCGGTTGGAAATTGACATTAGTCATTCTTGCTGCTTCACCTGCTCTTGTAATAGCTGGCTTTTTAGAAATGAGAGCGATGGCTGGTTTTGGTTCAAAGGTAATTAATACTACAGTACATTTATAATTTTTTATATTATTCATTATCATCTAATTAAAATCATATAATTAATTAATTATTAACTTTATCAGACACGTGCAGCATATGAAGGAACTGGCCAAATAGTTCAACAAAGTGTTTCTAACATGAGGACAATTGCGTCATTAACTAGAGAAGAAACCTTCAAAACTACATATCAAAATGCTCTAAGAGAACCACACAGAATCGCAATTAAGGGAAGTTTGCTATCATCATTTGGATTTGGTACATCTCAAGGAATTTTGTACTTTATTTGGGCATTATCATTTTGGTATGGTTCAAAATTGGTCGAAACAGATGAATATGAATTACAACAAATGCTTCGAGTTATGTTTGCTGTTTTGTTTACAGCTGTTTCTCTTGGACAATTGGCGTAAGTTAACATACAATATACATCATAAATTCAGACTAATACTGCATTATAATTAATTAATTTATTCATTTATTTATTATTTTAGTACATTTGCACCGGATGTTGCAAAAGCAAAAGTCGCAGCTCTTTCAATCTTTGAAATTGTAGATAGAAAATCTACAATAGATCCTACTGATAATGAAGGTAAAGACCGCCCTGCACCAATATTAGGAGATTCTTCATTTCATTCGGTTCATTTCAATTATCCTGCTCGTCCGAATATACCAATCATTCGAGGTTTGGACTTGTCAATATATTCTGGGAAAACTATTGCACTTGTTGGGTCATCGGGTTCTGGGAAATCGACAGTTATTTCGTTATTATTAAGGTTTTATGATGTAAATTCTGGAGAAATTGAAGTTGAGGGTGTTAATGTTAAGCAATGGAATTTAGAGTATTTAAGAGCGAATATGGCATTAGTTGGACAAGAACCTGTGTTATTTGATTTAACAATTGAACAGAATATTGTATGTTTTTTTATTTTTTTAAATTATCTAAAACTTTTAATCATTCGTTGTCTGACCTTTTTTTTTTTTTATTCTTGAAGGCATATGGAAAAGAAGGTTGTACTAGAGAAGAAATTGAAGAAGCTGCGAAAGAAGCAAATATTCATAACTTTATTACAGCCTTACCGGATGGGTATAACACTCGTGTAGGTGAAAAAGGAACACAACTTAGCGGTGGTCAAAAACAGGTTAATAAATTTTTGTTGAAATGTTTGAAATTTTTGTACATAATATGTATAGCATAGATTAAACTTTTTATTTTTTTAGAGAGTGGCAATAGCACGAGCTCTTATTCGTTCCCCGAAAATTTTATTACTTGATGAAGCAACTTCAGCACTAGACTCTGAATCCGAAAAGGTTGTACAGAATGCATTGAATAAAGCCAGTAAAGGTTCGTATTGTCAACTTTAAATTTATACTGAGTTAGCAAAATCAATAAACATGAATTTTTTTTTTCTCCTGACTTAGGTCGCACAACACTTACAATAGCTCATCGATTATCGACAATTCAAAATGCAGATTTAATCTTGGTTTGCAAAAAGGGTAGAGTTGTTGAATCTGGTAAACATTTTGATTTAATAAATCAAAAAGGATTATACTATAAATTGGTTAACAAGCAAACTTTGATAAAGAAAGAAAAATGATTAAGGATGTGGTATAATAGGCAAATATATTATAAACAATATATTAAAGGAACGTTATGAAAAAATAATGGTTAAATTTTTTTTTAAGGTTAATATTAATATATTAATTTCTTTTTATAAATAATATATATATAATTTGAAAATTGTACTGCATATATTTAATAAATAAATGGTTTAAACGCGTATCGTAATAAAATAAAATAAAATAAAAATGCCCTCAATTTCTAAAGTAATCACCTGATACTCATCACGAAAATCTGCAAAATACAATAGAATTTTTTTTACAAATCCTAAGATTCCAATTTTCTAAGGTAGTTGAACCTCAAAATTTGGATCTACTCTCAAAATTTTGAAAAGACGCGTTTTTTTTTATTTCAGGGTTGGGCTAGGCCTTGGAATCATAAACGTTATCGAAAAAATATAATAGGGTTTATACGTAATAAATGCTAGGAACAGCATTCCTCAGCTTTTTGGACCCCAAGCTTAGAAATTTATTATCCAGATGGAGGGAATAGATTGTATATCATATTGTTTAGTTAAAATACATCGATATAAAATAATGGCCTATCATCAAAAAATATTTACCAAATAAAATCATGAAAAACATTCATGTGCACAAAATCGACCACCAGTGCCATTCTTGAAATCAAAGTTTTTTTTCTGACTTAATCTTCACATAAAAGAGAGTTTATATCATTTGCCTTTTGATTTTTTGGTGGCGACCTTTGTAGGGATGAAATAGTTGATGTTACAGAACTTTAACATATCTGATGCTTCAGATATAATCGATAATATTTTCGTGATTAGGTTTTGTTAAATTGATTGAATCCTTCACAGATCTTATGGTCCTTTAATTGTTTATCGAGGCAGAATCTGGTCGGCCTGTTTCAAATATCCAATTTCGATCAACTTTTTTTAATTATGCAACTTTATCATCAGTTTTCACGTATGTTTGTATCTCCGTACTAGCCATGCTCACATCTTCTCCAGAAAGATAAAATATTAGTAACATCCCAGCAGCAACTAGCTAAAAATGGAAATGTGCTTATCAAACACCCCATAAATCATACTTTACAGTATAGATAAAATGACGATATAATCTCGCATACATATGATCTAGTAACTTGGCGGTGGCGAACGAAGAAATCGATCATGTAGATTTTAGCCAATCATATTGCAGGATCAGATGAAACGTGAAAATAGGTATAAATTCATAGGATGTCAGTGGCGTTTTTATCTCACGAAATTTTGGAGCCATGAGCGTTAATTCGAAAGTCGTATCACCCGAAAATAAGATGCATAGCTTCGAAATGACGCACATGCGCGTCTGAAGTAACGCGCATGTTTGGATTAGTTCGGGCGAAACCCGAATTTGCAGATCATTTGCAGATCAAATTGGGCGAAACTAATTTCGGAGGGTTTCGGACTTATAGGGCGAAATTAAAATTCTTCTGGGCGAAATATTTCGGATTTGGAAAATAATTTCGCCCGAAACACTAGTTTGGATCAATGTAAATTAGCCAATCACATAAAAATCTTCATATGTCGGACGATCAGCCTTTAGCGCGTACTCAAAATAACGCGTAGTTTGGTGTTTTTACACGAAAAAATATGGTAATTTTTTTGCTAATCCTAATATCAACCTAAAAACAATTCTAAAGATATTAAATATGTGTTACGGTGTTGTGTAATGTTCATTTTTATGATTACTATCCCTTTATCAGTAGTGGAAAATGTTACGTACTATACATATGTGCGTACGTGACAATAGTGTCTAAAGACACGTAAAAAAACAGTATACATTTATTTATACTTTTACAAAAAAAAAAAAATCGAGATTTCTAGCGCTATATAAGTTATCGTAATTTTACGGCAGGATGAGACCTGATGTGAGACCACTTGAGGGCAGGATTGCAATTGACTCAAAATTGAAGTTCATTGACGTTTTTTCACTGTACTCGATACCTGCCCGATGTTAACTAATCAAAATCACGTTAAATTTTCCTTTATTATAGTATCAATTTGCATCAAAAATATCAAAAGGTAACCAAAAAACTCGGGTCTCATACCCTCATATTATATTACTGTTAAAGACAGTAAAAAATTTCAGATAATTGCCTTGAACTATTGCGATTATTAAAGCTGGTGAGTCTACATATTTAAGCATATAGGGCCATTTGCAGTAGAAATAGTACCCTAGCCATGGCGAAAAAAAGTGCCGATTATGTGGAGATTCTACTGATACGCATTCTGATTGAACGAAATAAAATCGAAATGTAATTTTTTTTTCAAACTTTTTTAGCGAAGACATCTTGACAATAACGTATCTAAAATAGATAAAAAAATTTTTTTCTTTAGATTTTATATATCTGTATGATTAAAATCAAAGAAAAAAAAAGCGTTAACTTATAAAAAGCTGCGGCAAATTCCAAACTTTGAGCGAAGATACTATATCTAAATAATCACCTATCTAAAATCGTTCCATAAAGTTATGTGATTAAAAAAAACAATCAATAAAAAATAGATTACAGTTTTTCCAAATTTCAATCGAAGATATCTCGATAATCACCTGTCTAAAATTGATAAAAAATTTTTTATTTCTGCCATATAAAAACATGTGATAAAATCAAAAAAAAAAAGATGTGTTTGTCGGCAGAACAAAACTAGATTATTGCGCTTTGCAAAAGATGTGACCTCCGCAGATCACGATGTCGCGTGAAAATTAGAGATTCTGTAGGTTTTAAGAATCTATCGATTTCAATTAATAGATAATCTAGAATCTCGGAAATTTTCCTCTTTCATCACAAAAATCATGGGGTCACATCTTTTTGCAAAGCGTTATAATATCAAAACGTTTTTTCGAATTTGGAGCGAAGGTATCTCAACAGTCACCTATCAAATATCAATAAATTTTTTGTTTATTTCGATTCTATAAAGTGTGATTAAAATAAAAAATCTTTTGTGGTTGTCAGGATATCTTCGCTCAAAGTTTGGAAAAATTCTATTGCGGTCAATTAAACTTTGAGTGAAAATATCCCGACGCCACCTACCCAAAATTTGTAAATTTTTTTTTATTTTAATCAATTTTCTAAAATAAAATTTAAAATTGGATGATTATCAAAGTATTTTCGCTCAAAATTTGAAGCCGCGGTGAAATTTTAAGCGAAGACATCTCGATGAAAATCTAACATTATCTGTTATGAAGGTTTGCAAAAAGCAAACCACGAAACAGTATCAATTTTTTGATTCTCAATTTTAAAGATTTCGAATAGATAGATAGATGTTATTGATTGAAAAATACAGTATGATCGATAGGTAATTTAAAAATCTCAAACTTTTCCACTATCATCATCACGAAATCACAGTGTTATACCTTCTTGCAAACTGCCATAATATAAACTTTTTATTTGATAATAATGTATAATTTATAAAAAAAATTTCAACGATTTAGAATCGGTGATTGCCGAGATACTGTATCTTCGCTAAAGTTTGAAAAAAAAATTACATTTGGATTACAAATTTCGTCCGATCAAGAATGTGAATGTTCAAGTAGAATCACTATATTACCGTTACTTTTTCCGCCATGCTATGATACTACTGTATTATTTAGGCCGTTCAAAGTTAATTGGTTGCTAACGTCTGCATTTTTAGTTCTGGCACAGAAAATTGATTAACCAATTGGTCAATTTTAATAGGTATTACTTAAAGGAGTATAGTCGGGAATACAAAAGTAGTTGAGTATGGTAACAAAAATAAAAAATTGTCTGTTGCGTATGGTGACGAAAATAAAAATCGTACGAACGTATATACGTACAAGATACGTAAATGTAATGTATAATATATTAGCTATGTCAATAACTTTATTTATATAGAAATTTTTTTTTTTTTTTACAAATAATTTAATAATAAGCGATTATGCAAAATAATTGTTTCTTTCAAACAAATTATTGCGCTTTGCAAAAAGATGTGAACACTGCAGAACACTTTTTCATGTGAGAATCGGAGATTTTATAGATTTT